GCAAATATTAATAATATGTCAATGTTTTTAATGTTTATTTTTGAGACAGAGAGAGAGAACGAGCCTATGTGATTGGAGGAAAGGCAGAGAGAGAGATGGACAGAGGATCTGAAATGGGCTACGTGCTGATAGCAGCAAGCCCAGTACGAGGCTTGAAGCCACAATCATGACCTGAAGTCAGACACTTACCTGACACCCAAGTGCCCCATAATATATCAATTTTTAAATTGTGGAGAAACATATCTGAAAAGAAACACGCTAAAGGGAAATATAACAAAATACTTCTGCTTCCTTAAATTTTTGGATACTTGTCACACTTCTTTAGCAATGCATATATTTGTTATGTACATTATAAGAAATAAAACTCCTTTCAAATATATTTCTCATTTAATATTTCAGTACTTCATGAGTTAAACAAGAGAGAGAGAATAATTCTCCTTTTTGTTGTTGAAAAGAATGGGTAATTTCCTTATTGGAGTAGCTTTTAAATAAAACCCAGATCCTCCAAAGCCAGCTTCAATGCTTCTTCAATGATATCATTCTAGAAGTTTACAGGAAATAATATATGTGAACATTTTATGAGTTTTTTGCAATAAAGGAACAGTAATTATAATCTGAGAAATCATTAATAATGTTTAATTTATTTGATCTTCTTTATAAACTCCTGATTCCAATTGAGAGAAAAACTAATGTATAATATCAGACAAATGTTAATAAAAAGGGATATTCAAGTAAGTATAACATGTAAAGAATAAAACTCATCATTATATCTATGTTTGATTTATTACGATAGCAAATATTAGAAGAAAATCTAAAACTCTTTTGTTTTACTTTAGAAAGATATTGAACATGGTACTCTAAGAATGAAGTCATATTAAGAATATTAATAACGACAAAATGTAAAAGAGTCCATAATGCAAGACACAAAAAGTAAAGAAGTTTATACAGACTTGATCAATTACTGGTGGGTTGTTTTTTTTTTTTTTAATGTTTACTTATTTATTTTTGAGAGAGAGAAAGAGAGACAGTAAGAAAGAGAGAGAAAATCTGAAGCAGCCTCCACGCTTTTCAGCACAGAGCCTGGTCAGGGCTTGAACTCACACCAATGAGATCATGACCTGAGCCGAAATCAAAAAACGTCACATGCTTAACTAACTGGGCCACGCAGGCGCCCCTCACTGGTAGGTTTTTAATAAAGTAATCAATTTTAATCAATGAGAGATTAAAGTAGAAACTAATATCTTTATAACCTTATTTATCTAGGACTTATTGAGGATTTACAACAGGGCATAACTTAAGAGACTAAAATGATAAGTAAGATTAAAGCCAGATTCTTTTCCAGATGCACATACCACTCTAGCTGTTGACATAGTCTAACTCCTGTGCATCAGCACTCTGGCCACTTAGGCTGGCCTCATTCTCTTGTCTAGCATACACATAGCCAGTATCAGTGAGCTACTTCAGGGAGAGATAGCCAGATTCATCGTTATATGCACAGAACCTAACACAGTGCTCAACAGTGTGATGGCAGCATGTGCATTTGCATATGCAATCGAACTCATTTCAGTAGCCTGAAGCATATCAACTTGAAAATTACAAGTACTAGAGAAAGTCATAATACACCCCCAAACTAAAGAAATGACTTGGGAGATTATCTGCACTGCCAGATAACTTTTGGACTGGTTGCCTATTCTATCCATTAGGTGATACAGATATGTATTCATACAGGGCTAACCTGTTGAGTTTCAAACTGAGCTGTTTCCCAGGCAGTAGCTCATAAGTCAAGGTCACAGATTTATTTATTTATTTTTTAAGTTTATTTATTTATTTTGAGAGAGAGAGGGAGTGTGAGCAGGGGAGGGGCAGAGAGATAAGGGGACAGAGGATTTGAAACAGGCTCAGCAGAGAGCCCATTGCGGGGCTCAAACTCACCAACAGTGAGATCATGACCTGAACCAAAGTCAAACACTTAACTGACTGAGCCACCCAGGCGCCCCAAGGTCACAAATTTAAAAGATTTATAGTTGCAATAAGCATATTTCTCTCACCTTTAACTGGGATACAGGTACTAACAAGATTTAAGTACAAGAATGATGACAAATGGATACTGATCCTCAGCCTCAGGGTCAGGAACACACAAAAAATGGAGTCGGGGCACTGGGCTAAACTTTCAGGCCATTTCTAAAGGGGAGCTTCTACTTAAGCCAACCTCATGGTGCCAGGTAGGAAAACAAGACAACTGTAGCAAGATCTTCTGACTTTTCAAGAATAGCTAAAAATTTATACATTTACTTAGAATATCTCATTTTTCATATGGTAATTTTTTTAATGTAAAACACTATATACACTAAAAAAAAATCTACAAAGAATATCTGACATACAAGCTTCTGGTTTATGAGCCTGGTTTAACAATTTGATTACCCTATTGTTGCACATATAATTGAGATATTACTGAAAAGTCATATAATAGGATTACTGAAATGTCAAGGACAGTTTACTGATTAAAGACTAAACGTTCAAGATTATGTGTGCTATCATTCCATACTCATAATTCACAAATACCAAATATTTTACAAACTCCACTTAGTATCCAAATGAAAATATCAAAGTCTAGAGGTGACAGCAGAATAATGTGTTTAACCATTCTAAATTTTACTTAAATGTGGTATAACAAGGGTTAAGTCACAAGTTCAGGTTGGTCCTCTATGTATGCAGATGCATGATTGTATTTCTAAATGATGACTAACTAGACAATTATACTCACTAGAAAGTTCTGTCACAACTGACATTTTAAATGAAGCATTCTGCTAAGAAAACTGAAATTTCAACCCCATTTTAATCACTGTAGCTATTCAGAATTCTGTTAATCAAGTAGGGGAAAACTGTGTCTTCAACACCTTAGAATGATTTATCTGTTTGTACGAATGTGAGAAAAATGATCACGTCTTCAAGTAATAGATTACAAGCACAAAGTAAGTTCACATTACAGCTATGCTGATGAAAATTACCTGCAGGCTGTTACAACAGAGCCATGAATTAATTAACCTTTTGCCATAAAAATCTGGAAACTTCAGCAAAGACTGAAGTTTCTCTCTTTCCCTTCTTCCAGCTCCCTCAGCATTTTAGAAAGTGAAATATTGTGCAGTTACTGAGGCAAATAGATAAAATATTCTTAGATTTTATTGGGTCTGCATGTTACGACAATAAAAGCACACAAATTGTGGTTAAAACATAGCAAGTTGGATGTTTCCTTTTTTTGTTTTAATTAATGAAAGATGAAAAATAATGGTCAATTTCTATGCAGATATTTACTTTTGTGAATGAGATAAGTATTTTCTTACTATGAAATGTTGGCTACCTCTTAGTTATCTACTTTTCAACTCTGTAAGAAAATAAGTTAAATGACTCGTGTCTTTTGCCAATGTATTTAAGAAAACAAGAATACACTCACATATTCTTTAATCTTCATTAAAATTTTTTAAATGCTTACATATTTTTGAAAGAGAGTGTGAGTGCAGGAAGAGCAGAGAGACAGGGAGACACAGAATCTGAAGCAGGCTCTAGGCTCTGAGCTGTCAGCACAGAGCCCGATGTGGGGCTTAAACCTATGAACTGTGAGATTATGACCTGTACTGATGTCAGACGCTCAACCAACTGAGCCACCCAAGTACCCCTAAACTTCATTTTTTAATGAATAAACACATTACATTTGAGTGTACTGGCCAAGTGTCTTGATAGTTTTCACATGGGATCTGAAGCTAAAAAATCAGCTAATGCTAAATGAAACCATGATCTTGGAAAACAGGATTTCTAATAAACAATGGTAAAATGAGCAACTGTATTTTCTCAAGTTGTTAGGAGTAAGGATCCACAAGACTTGATGAATGTGAAGATTACAGCAAGACTTGAAGATCATTAAGTTACACTTGAAATATTCACATAATAACTTCATGTCTTCATGCAGTTGTGTAGAAACAGATTTTATTTTTGTCTTCGATGTAGTAATATCTCAAGAGGATTACCAATTCCAATATTTAACTGTTCTATAACAAACAGAGCTGTTCTTTTCCATGAGCTAATTCTTATAGTTATAAGAATTCTTATAGTTATAAGAATTAGTTTTAATTCATTAGACAATTAGTCTTGCCAATGGATAAGTCATTTCTTTAGTAGCTTAGGAGACATTCTTGTTTGGATAATGGATTATACAGTGTTTTAGGGCTTTTCTCTATTGTTCAAACTAAATCATGATTTGCCAAATTCATCTTTAAAGAGCTAAACCAGTGAACCCTCTCTCCAATAAAGTGTTAAGAAATCAATTATTGCAGGTAAGAGGCACACAATAATATATACAAATAAGAAGGTGATAATTTTATGTTAATACAATGAGTAATGCTTATCAAAACAACTAAAGATGCATATCAGATTTCTTATTTTGTATTAAGAGCAAACACATCTTTTATGAATAAATACTTCAAGTGGCTATTTTAACTAATTTATAACAAATAATAAATCCTTCATAATCATTAATATATTAAAATTTTCCAAATGGTTCTTTCTTCTGTATCTATAAGGAAGAAAGCTCTTTGAAATTGGTAAATTTAGGTTATTTGCCAAAACATTTTTGGTTATTTCAATTTTGAGAATAACTCTAATATAAGGCATATACATTTAGCTAAGATATCTATTGACCTGCAGCATCAAGGCCAGTGCGTATCTGTCAATTAGAAAATTCATAATAAATATATTTTGAATATAAGAATATAAAAAGTCTCAAAAGAAATTCGGCACTTCTGCCAATAGTTAAATTTGCCTGTGGTAATTTAAACTAAATTCAATATTGTCATTGATTCTTAGATAATATGTAAGTGATAATGCAAATGTGTATATGAATAAAAGGTGTATGCCTTTTAAAAACTTAAAAGTGAGAGCACACATATATAATACTCCTTAATTATGGGAATACGCATGCTATCCTTTGGAAGATATGATCTACATACCTGACAGGTAATGTTCTATCTCCTTTTCTCCTATCCATTTCTCTTTGGGGAACAGGATACCAACGGAAATTCAGTTTCCAGTTAAAGCCCCCATAAGTCATGTCTGACCCAGCCATATATTCAAAGGTATCATCACTAATCACATCAATGATGGGGCATACAACTGTTTTCCTGCAGAAAAATCAAAACCAGTTTACATATAAATAATAATTTCAACACTACATTAGCTTCCTCAAACTCAGTATAGCTTAGTTGAAATTTAATCATTCTGTGACTTTACTATGACTTTATTTTCGTTTTATCCTTTTTCTCTGTGGAATCATCTCCTTATACTACATCTTCTTTATAGTCTCTACTTCATTCTATCATGTATAATACAATCCAATATAGCAACTGGTCTTCAAGCTGATCTTCAAATGCATTCTAAGTACTAACTCAGCAGGATGAATATGGTCTATTTTTCATAAAACCTCCACCCACACCATGATTACTAGAGTTGCTTGGATATTATGCATCATTTTAGCTAGAGCCAACTGAAAAGCAATAGCATGCAGGAAGTAGAGAGTGGATGACGGCAAATTAGACCTGGTATTTTGAATCTCAAAGGGGATAGGTTAACTTAAAGAGACAGTTTTCCAAAAAAAAATTAAATGTTTTCTCATGGGAAAATACCTGCTAGAAAAAACAAACAAAAATCAACAAACAGAAGCAACAATAAAAATCGTGATCATCAGTGTAAGTAAATGTTTCCTCTGAAAGATATTAGGGACATGATGATTTCTAAGTGTGTTGTCCTAGATCTTGGAATTTACTGTAAATAATCTACGTATTTTATTTTTTTATTTATTTATTTTTTGTGACTAACTTCTTTTATTTTTATTTTTATTTTTTTTTACAAATAGTTTACTGTCAAATTAGTTTCCACATAACACTCAGTGCTCATCCCCAAAGTGCCCTCCTCCATGCCCCCCCCCCCATCCATCAGTCCTCAGTTTTTGTCAGCATTCAAGAGTCTCTCATGGTTTGCCTCTCTCCCTTTCCCCCACCATTTCCCCCCTTCTTCTCCCCCTTGGTCCTCCGTCAAGTTCCTCCTAATCCTCCTATACGTGCAAACATATGATATTTGTCCTTCTCTGCCTGACTTATTTCGCTCAGCATAACACCCTCAAGGTCCATCCATGTGGCTACACATGGCCAGATTTCATTCTTTCTCATTGCCATGTAGTATTCCATGGTATAGATAAACCACATCTTCTTGATCCATTCGTCTGTTGATGGACACTTAGGCTCTTTCCATGTTTTAGCTATTGTGGAGAGTGCTGCTATGAACATTGGGGTACATGTGCTCCTATGCATCAGCATTTCTGTATCCCTTGGGTAAATTCCTAGCAATAGCACTGCTAAATAATCTATGTATTTTAAAATAGAGAAAGATAAGCAACTTAAGTTTCTGGTGTTTTATCTTATGACCCATTTCTTCTTAAAGTTAAGAGGAAGAGCCAGGAGATTTTGTGTTCACGATGGTAGCTCTTTTAGGATAAGAAACTTTCACCTTGAGAGAAGATTAGATATTCTTTTAATCCATTTTGTGCTCTTCTCAGTCTTCCTCTACTCCTGGCTTAGTTGTTGTATTATGGAATCAATCTTTCATCTTTAGAGCAAATGTTCAGGTCTAGTCAAGTTTGCATTGCTTGTAGCTAGTTCTGGAAAGCAGAGCTTATTTTTCGTATTTAGCAGGCAGTAAATACACAAATATGCTTTTGAATCACCCATAAATGGGGAAAGCAAATAAATGTTGTCCATTATTTATTCTGGTTTTGTAACACCAGTATTACCAACTTTCATTTTCTTTTTTTAAAAATGTTTATTCATTTATTTTGAGAGAGAGACAGAGTGTACATGTGCGCATGTGAGTGGTGGAGGGGCAGAGAGACAGGAGAGAGAGAATCTGGAGCAGGCTCCAAACTGTCAGCACAGAGCTCAACATAAGGCGGCTTGATCCCATAACTGTGAGATCATGACTTGAGCCAAAATCGAGTATGGGACATTTAACTGACTGAAGTACCCAGGTGCCCCACTAATGCTCATTTTTCAGTTAGGTCTTCTATTCCACACAATTAGTCTAAAGCTCTCTGGAATCAATAGGATTTATCTAGCCTTGGAAACATTTCTTAGTAACTCCAGTCCCTACAAAATCCATACCTTTCTCTCTTTCTTCATTAAATTTAATGACTTAATTTTTAGTGAGGCAAAATTAGATCTGCTAATTTTGAATGGGACTTTATTATCTAGCTAGGCAACTTTAGAACCTATAAGCAGGACAAAACATTAGAGTTCACTATATGCAAATACAATCTAAACATGTTGGGTTAAAAAATAAATGATCTATTCTTGACGATATTGAATACTATATTAAAAATTCAGTAAGTTGAATATGAAACACATGTTTTAAAAAACGGCAAAATGTATGAAAAGTTGCCAGGAAATGCATTTAAGATGCTCTAAGTTCATTTTACTTTGCCAGTCTCATGCTCCTGTGTATACTGGACAATACACAGAGTGGAAAATGTTATTAGCTGTGTACAACACTCAGCTGGCTAAAAGGTTCCCACTGCTTTCTTCAACCACCATGGTTCATTTTACTGACAACCTCCATCTATCTTCATGGCAAGTACCAAATCCTGATGTAGCTGGACTAGCTCACACTAAGCAACCCCTGTCCTGGATGTTTAATTAAAAACTTCAATTCTAAGAAGATCTTTTCTACTGTAGGTGAAATGACTATGGAAACAAGATGTCATAAGATTCTTTGTTATTATATCTGAGAGCATTCAACATAGTTGACTTCATTAGGTGCTTAGGAATTATAATCATTCATCATCAGTGTTTACAAATATCCACAAAAGAATCCAGTATTTGACGGCATCACCATCAGAAAGAACTGCAGGTATATATGAGGGTTGTTAGTTTCTATAAAGTACTATTCAACTTTTCAGATCTCACTATTTGTATATACAGATTGACAATATTGTTTATATAATTAAAATTCTTATAGTTTTAATTTTCTAATCATGATTTCACTCCAGTGGAATGTGTGAGTATCTTCATTTTTAAGATCCTTTAGGTGGTTTAGAATAAGACTTTGAATAAAGGCAGTGACCTATTAGAGAGAAGGCTGGTCTAGGAATGGGAAGAACTGAATTGTTGTTCCCATCACTTCCCATAACTGGGACAAGCTGCTTCACTTCTTCGTCCTTCCCTATTACAAGTACACACAAGAACATTTACATTCCCTACCTCACAGGGTTCTTGTGAGGATGAAATCAGGTGCTTTGAAATGTATTTTATAAAATATGGCACCATTTCAGATTGGACTCAGTTTTATCACGTTACAAAATGAATATTCAACATTTTTTTTCCTTTTTGGATTGTTTGACTATTTCTTAACCAAATATTCATATTCAGCATGAATAAGCCAAGGTCTTTATTCAACGGAGGAGAGGTACTCTTTAAAAGCTAGAAGGGACACCTGGGTGGCTCAACTGGTTGAGCCCAACTTCCTCTCAGGTCATGATCTCATGATCTGTGGGTTCGAGCCCTGCACTGGGCTCTGTGCTGACAGCTCAGAGATGACAGCTCAGAGCCTGGAACCTGTTTTGAATTCTGTGTCTCCCTCTCTCCCTGCCCCTCTCCTGCTCATGCTGTTTCTCTCTGCCTCTCAAAAATAAGTAAATGTTAAAAAAAATTTAAAAGCTAGAAAATAAACCCGCTAAAAATAGCAATTTACAGAGAAGTTTTGACCGGCACCTGGAACTGTCCTAAAGGGTCAGTCGAAACCCAGGCAGACATAACACATGAGTTCTTACCTGTCTTCTTTTATTCTCGCCAGCAAGGGCTCCAGCCATCCTAACGTGCATTCACAGTGTGCATCGAGAAAAGTTATGACCTGCCCTTTTGAAGCGGCTGCTCCTCGAAGGCGGGCACGTATTAATCCAGAGCGTTCTTCCATTCTAATAATTTTTACTGGCACCTCTAAATTTTTCACATAATTCTCTAATGTCAACTTGAGAAAATCTGTAATGTGCAATAAGAATTGATAAAGTTTTGGAACTATTTTAAGACATAGCAGAGATACTACTGCCCAAATGGAATTCAACAAACAGAAATGGTAGCCATCTCCTATCAACACTTTTTTGCATTAGGTGAAATAAGTATACAGAGATTTTTATCAGTAAATCTGGCAAAGATAAGGATATTATAGGAAGTTAATATACCAGACTCGAATTAGAAATTGGGCCATATTGACAAACAGAGACTCTTTAACTGTAAGTCATTTTGTTTTTACCTGCACTTACAAAAAAACAAAACACGATAGATGTCCACAAAGTAAGTTAATGCTCAATCATGTGACTGTTTGAGTTGGGAAATAAATAAACATTTTTGAAAATCATTTTGGCCTGTTCTTAGGTTAGTATGGATCAAATGGAATCCTGAGAGAAACTGAAAGAATTAATTTCATATTCCTGGAGTTCCAGAGACACAGATGAAAATTTGATAGGTGATTTCAGGACTCATATGATTATAAGGAAAAAACAGATCATTGCCAAGCTATCTTTTTGACCATAATAAAGTTTTCTATTAAGAAGGAAAAATATGTATACCTCTTTCACTGGCATCATCTACCAAGATGACCTCAGAGAGCAGATAGCGTGGGGAACGATTTATAACACTGTAAACAGTTCGAAGGAGAGTGCTCCAAGCTTCATTGTGAAACACAATGACTACACTTGTGTTTGGAAGTTCATCAGGGTAGACCTTTGTCTTGCATCTGGAAAAGAAGAAGAGAGACATGTTAATAAGTCCATTTTCCATTCTGATGATTGTAATTAAGAATATCCATGCTAACACAACTTTAGACTTGAAAGCCCTTTACTAAGGAAACATTTCATGATTATCTAAAATAAATTTTCCTTTTTAAAATGCTGTGAGTAATTACTTGGCATTTTGAAAATTAAATATGCATAATTACTAATACTTTATCTTAATTCCTGTAGGGAACAAAGCAACATAATTTCCACAAGGCTGAGAAAGCTAAAATAACATTCTGACTATCAGTAGAAGACGAGGTTACAACAGGGACATGTGAATTCATTGAGTGGATATAATTTTATTCCTTGTTTAGAAAAAAGATTATCGTATAACTCAAAAAGTCATAAGAACAGGAAAAGATATACATTCCCAGGGTTTTAGAGCGTGTAAAACTGAGATTACTTTTCTGTTCTAAAATCTAGGCATGTGTGTTTTCCATTCTGTTTGAGGATGCTAAAAAACCAGGTCTGATTTGAAGGAAAGGTTTAGGGGCTTGATTTACTTTGCAGACTCCCAATTAGTACTATATATAATCAAAACTGGAGATCAGGAAAGGGAATAGTCTATCAGCACTTCCCAAACTTTGACGTACATAACAAATCACCTATGATTTGTTAAAATGAAGATTCAGATTCACTAAGTCTGGGGTGCAGCCTGAGATTCTGCATTTAAAAAAAAAAAAAAAAATTCCAGGTGATTCAGAAGCTGCCAGTCACACAGAGCACACTGTAATTGTCATTACTTTCAGAACTTGATGTTTTGAGAGAAACTTTTAATTTTTCTTATAAATTCAAAGAAGCCCAGATTTAACTTTTTGAGCAATCAGTCTAAAAATATACATTTGCACTCTCCCTCTCTCTCTCTCTCTCCCAAAATAAATAAATAAACTTAAAAAGGGGCCTGGGTGTCTCAGTTGGTTGACCATCTGACTTCGGCTCAGGTCATTATCTCGGGTTCGAGCCCCATGTTCGGCTCTGTGCTGAAAGCTCAGAGCCTGGAGCCTGCTTTGGATTCTGTGTTTCCCTCTCTCTGTGCCCCTCCCCCACTCACACTCTGTCTCTAAAACAATAACAAAAAAAAACTTTTTAAAAGATACATCTGGATAAATGGTATGTGTCATGCTCTAGGTGATCATCCCAAGTTTAACACGTAGATGGTCCTTACCCCATCAACTTGTCAACATTCAGATATTTAAGTCATTATAATTATAAAAATTTTAGAAAAAAAATCACTTGTTATCTGAAATAGGAATGGAAGTTCATTCACCTTATGTTATTGTTTCATGTAAAATATTCTAAAGAGCTAGAGAATTAAAATCATCCCATAAAATAAATGAACTCAATACTTCCTAACACTCCTGAATGATCTAAAAAGTGACACAAAATAAGCACTGTTAAGATTAGACTCCTTCACAGGTAAGTGGGAAAAAAATCAGTAAAATATGGGAGATAAAGGCATAGAATTAAACAAATACTGATTGTATGCCTATTGAGACTTTAATCATCTTTTAAAATGGTCTAAAATATCAACTACTCGGTGAAATCTTTTGCAATGTAGTCAGGTAAGAAGGTACTATTCCTGAACCGTGACATTTTTTTCTGCGTATATTTATTTGGAAACATTCATTAATCAGCCACACTACAGAATATATTGTATATGCAGGAAAATCAAAATGTAATGGGAAAACGTATTTTGATTTGCAGTCCTCTTTTCCCATTGCAAGATGCAAATGGTTTCTATATGCCTCATCAGCACTTAACTTGGGCGTCCAGGAAGCTTATCACCAAATGAACTCAGAAAGCCATGTTGGTAAATCAGAAATTTTCTATCCACGATTTTCCTCAAACCTCCATTCTTCTGCCTCAACAAAATGGCATGCTAAGCAAAAAGTATGGTAAAGAGCATCATCATCATCATCATCATCATCAATAAAAAATAAAACTAGAATAAGAGGCTGAAGCATTCCAACAGTCAACAAGTACCTATCTGACCCAAAGATAGGTGACTATCTGTAAGGGCTATCATTGAAAAATAAGTGATTTCTTTTAATTTTTTTTGTATGTTATATATGCATGTATGTTGTATGTTTTGTATGCTAAATGCCAACAAAAAAAATGGATGAGGTATTTAGATGAATCTTTTCAAGTTTTTTTTCATGTTTATTTATTTTTGAGAGAGAGTGAGACAGAGAGAGAGAGAGAGCACGCGAGCGAGTGGGGGCGGGGCAGAGAGAGAGGGAGACACAGAATCTGAAGCAGGCTCCAAGCTCTGAGCTGTCAGCACAGAGCCTGATGCAGGGCTCGAACCCACCAACTGTGAGATCATGACTTGAGCCGAAGTCGAACGCTGAACCGACTGAGCCACCCAAGTGCCTAGACAAATCTTTTAAAATACCAAATGGAAAGCAGATATTCAAATCCAGCTTCTTAAACTATTTCTATCATACTTTGTTTTTGTGGTTAAAAAATCTACTTATAAATGTTAATTTTATATTCACTATATGTGACAAAGTTATAATGAACTAATTTACTATTAATGCAAGCGTTATGTTTACTTAGAGAAAATTTACACTGTATCATTATTTAATGTAGCATGAAAATAAAATGTGTCTAGTATATTTATTCTTTCTCTTCTTCCTATTTAAACAACTAGTAAGCAAAGAAAATTTTCTGTGATAATAAAATAATTTCTAGAATAATAAGAATAATTCTTAAGTTATACAAATTAATCATTTTCAATGTCAGTTTATCCTGTTATCTCAAGTGCATAGATGCTTATGAACGGGAGTTATCATTTCCATGGTTTCTACACTGTACTTTTACCATTGCCTGTACTTCATCGCATCTATTGTTTCATCTATAGTAAGATACCCCACCATTTTTTTATCCCTAGGAAGAAAAGAAAGTTATCAAATAAACCACAGCATATGCTTTTTTATCATTAGAATCTACTTCATACCTAAATAGAGATTACAGAATAAGCCTTTAAACTTATTTGGACATAGATTTCTATCAATATTGTCATGCTGGGTTATCAGTCAGTCACACCAGCTTTTTGTTGCTTTGAAGTTTCTTTCATCTATTCCAAGGGGCTTTCTCTAGCTTTAGGTTACATTGCTTAACATATGAGAGGCATATATTTAGCACACATCTCAGTAACAAAATATGAAACAGCTTCATCTTGTGGGTATCTTTCTTGGAACTACAAAGTTATGATTTTCAAATTCTAAGGTGCCAAGAAATTAGGTGGGCATCTTGATAAAATGCAAATTCTGATTTAGTAGATCCAGGAGGGGCTGGAGATTCCGAATTTCTAATGAGATCTCTGGTGATATTGTCTCTGCTGGTTCCTGGTTGACACGCTAAAGAAGGAAGGCTATAGAAATCAGTCAGCTGTTGATTAACAAGAAAATATAGAGTTGTGGTCATTGCTGCAACAATAAATATTTTGGTATGAAATTTAATACTTGCCACTGTTCCCTTGCCTTTCTTTTCACACATTTCCCCCCCCACCCCAATATTGAATCAGATTGTAACTTTTCTGAAGAAATGTTGAATGACCAGTAAACTCTGCACTTGTAGTATAAATAATGCACAAAACTTGGATGAAGTATGACTATGTGAACAGTTATGACCACTTTCATTTGTACAAGCTTAAGAAATACCATTTATATAACAACTGCCAGCTGGTAGGCAATGAATGCAACTACCCACTGACTGTAAAACTCATCCTGATTTCAGAAATGTAAAACTAAAAGGGTACATCTTAGAACAGGTAAATACAGTAATTTCTTTTAATGTTTATTTATCTTTGAGAGAGAGTGTGAGTGGGACAGAAAGGGAGACGGAGGATCCAAAGGGGGCTCTGACAGCAGCGAGGATGATGCAGGGCTTCAAGGCAAAAACCATGAGATCACGACCTGAGCTGAATTCGGATGCTCAGCCTACAGTCATCCGGATACCCCACGATATTTGTTGTTTAGCCAAGAAAAAGTACTTAAATGTCGTTTAGGTTCTTTTTTTAAAAATATCTTTATGTATTAAAGCTGTCAGAGTTTACAACTCACTGCTTTTATAAGAAATTATTAAAAACAAGCAAAACTAAAAGAAGAAACCTACATGGTGGATGTGGGATCAGTACTTAAATAGATTGGACCTCACTAATAACCTCTTCTTCTGACACACGGCAAATGGCTTCTTGTTTGCAAGACTTACTTCACCACTGTCTACCTCAGCTTTTACATCTTTTACACAGTAAGATTAAATAGGTAATCTGACATGTGCATCAGACATTGCTTGGTCTACACTGCATGTAAAGCCCAGAATCTCCAAATGGTGGATTTGGAAACAACTTTCAAAGTTAACCAATTCAAGTCTTTGTTTTCCAGAATGCAAGCCTCCAGTCACAGAACTGGGTTCAGTATTCTGCATAATAAAGTAATAAATAAAAATAATATTTTTTTATTATTTAATAATATTAGTAGCAGTGATGGTTTCTGCCCCATAGTCACGCTATATTAAATATTTTAAATGATATTACTGGTGTGTGCAATATTAGAAAAAATCATCTGAATTTTATATTTTTAAAAAAATTTTTTTAATGTTTTATTTATTTCTAGGAGAGAGAGACAGCGTGAGCAGGGGAGGGTCAGAGAGAGAGGGAGTCACAGACTGAAACAGGCTCCAGGCTCTGAGCTGGCAGTCAGCACAGAGCCCGACGCGGGGCTCGAACCCACGAACCGTGAGATCATGACCTAAGCGAAAGTCGGACGCTCAACCGACTAAGCCACCCAGGCGCCCCAAATCATCTGAATTTTAAAATATGCCTTAATCTTACACTCAAATATATATCTTTAAATCAGAGAAATAACTATTCTCCTAGAATTAGTCGATTAAAATGATGCATAGAAAATCAGCTTTCATTGAAATTATGTACATAGAGACCAAATATTCTTTTATCAATCTGTCCTAAGAAGACATTATTTTTCTTTTATGTAAACAACTAAATGGAATTGGCAAAAGTTGACATTATTGTGGGAATACAATATATATGTAATTAACTTTTAGAGTGAAGTGGCAGACGGCAATAGTAATTTTCATCAATTTGAAAGGAATATTTGATGGCCATTTACTCAGATGAAGTTCCCAAAAACTGGCATTCCAGTAAAATCGTAAGTTTTATTATAGCAGCATTTTATTTTTACCCTCTATTATGACATGCTAAATCTATAATACTTGAGAGGAAATGGAAGATTATTTCTTTTTAATTCTGTAATAATGTATCTGTGGCTTTTAGTCTTGGCTACACATTGGGATAATCCCACGAGCTACCAAAAAATACTGATGTGTGGGTTTCAACCACAGAGATTCTGATATAGGTGACTAGGGTGTGCCAGGTTCAAAGAGATTAAAAATCCCTTGGAGCTTTGAATGTGCAGCCAAAGCTGAGAAATGTTGTCTAAAGTTATTTAACAGAAACACTGATTTTAAATGTGTATATATGTATATACGTATGTGTATATGTGTGTGTGTTTGTGTGTGTGTATATATATATATACATATACATATATATGTAGAACCTTCTTTTTACTTATATCGAAATTTTAAAATTAGATGCTTAAGGTTAATATAGCTCTTTTTTGCAGTTATATCAGATGAAATTAATAGGCACTCTTCCTGTAATTGTAAGCACTAGAGTCAAAAAGTCTTCTCCACTTCATTTACAATCTGTTCTGTCATCTGAATGTACACTGATGTTGGTCCAGTCTTCTGTGTATCAGCTGTTGATTTATAAACACATGAGAAATAAATCCAGTTGCTTTCCTTTATAGAGAACGTGGGGGTAGAATCGTATTTCCAATGTCTGGAGCATGGGAACACAGTGAAGGAGCATACCTATTTACCATCTTTCCCCTTGGCTATGCACACATTACAGGAACACAGACCGTTAGAATTTGATTTTATCCTTTTCAAAACCATATTGATGTTTTCAGATAAGTTACTGAACACAATATGCCACATCAAAGAAAGAAAGATTGACTATAAGAGGAGAATGTGAAATCACAAAGGATCCATAATTACACAGTGGTTTAGTTAGACACAATCCATTTAGGACTACACAGCCTGTCAACAATGTAGTTTTCATGACTTGTTGAACTGCTGCTCAGTGAGTCAGTGGTTACTTTTTACTGCCTCAATCAAGAAGATTAATAATAGTAATTAAAAATAAAGACGTACAATACAAGCCCTCTGTATACTTCTTATTTTTAAGAGCTATGGGAATTGCCTTGAACCTTGCAGAATTATGTGTGGTTTCTATGTTTCCCAATCATTAAAATTCATATTCACACAGGGAAATTTCATCATTCGCCAATGCATCCGTGCAAAGAAAACTTGGGCAACAGCAAAGTGATTCTTTCATAACAACTGAACAGCTTGGGGCCTCCAGTAAAATGAAGCATGGGTTTTCTTAATTTTGTGTGGGTTTCTGTATGTTGATTTATATGTACATTGTGTTAAACCTTCTAAGAGTAAGTTCCTGTAAGTCATAATTATTGACTAATTGAATTGTTTTTAAAATTCATACATCCCAAGTACCTTTATTTTAAAATCTGGTTGGACCCTGTATTCATCCTTGGCCTATTTGCTATGAGATCTACTCCTTGTGTCTTCTGTGCTCTTTGACCTATTGAGTTGGATGGAGAGGGAGGGTTACTGGGAAAGAAGCATATTGAAAAATCTATATTTGTTGCCTTCTGTTTGAAATATGTCATAAAGACCTCAGCTAGGAGAGTGCCCTGTTGTAGGAAACAGGAACAGAAAACTAGGGAATTTCTTTCTACATCTCCCACTAATCTCAGAGAAGACCACTCAGCCCCCTTCCTCAGCCTTATCCCTCATGTGCCTCAATCTTCCTGACATATTATACTTTTTCCAATATAGTTTTCTAATTCAATGGACTAAAGGATTCTTCAAAAGAAAAAGAAAGGTTAATATTATGTATCTCTGCCTTTCCAGAATTTAGTATCCTGCATGTTACAAAATACATTTAATATGGGAGTGGGGGGGGGGGTTGCTGCATGAAAATTTCACAATGAGGCAGGCTATTGTATGAATTATCAGATCTACTTCTCGATTTATAGCTCTGTGTTGTTATACTCTGAACTATAAGTGTAGAAATACCAGTTTTTCTACTTTTTTAAAAAAAAATCTTTGATTGGTTTTATTTTTCTAGCTTCTAGAGCCAAGGCACATAAATGAGCTAGGAATAGGGATGGAAAAGAGTGTAAGAAAATTGATCTGCAAGTCACTGTATCATAACACAGTACCCTCTGACATAGGTAGCATCATTGTTATTTGGAATATGAGAGCACGCTGTGCCTGGAAACATGTTTGGCACCCCCTTCTGCTGTATAGGATTTGTGAGCAAACTCCTTAAATTTGGGTTTTGTCAATCACCTAAATTGAAGGAAGGCAGCTGTCATTTCTATATTGCAGCACTTTTACAGAAAACACGAAATTATAAAGGGATGTGAATGCAATCTATTATTACGCTATTCTTATATTATGAAGCACTGTCTAGAATATTACAGATACAGTCTCTAAAATTATTTGGGTCAGCTTTGCTGCTGATAGGATTCTGACCATGGTCATCTTCTAACAACTGATCTTTCGTCCTTAGTTTTGGTGGCCAAGCTCCCACTTTATCCCTTATTTCCACTGCCATTTCGATAACAGATTTGGTGTTGTCTACACTGCTCCAGCTTGAAAACTGCTACTTGTTTGTCTAGTATAGTGGTATGGAATCCACGTCCTGCCTTTCTTTTTTAGTCTTCTTGAGTCTTCTAAAGCATTTATTGCCCTAATCTGAAATTTCTCTGACTGCCTGTGGCTGTCTGCTAGTAAATCTTCTTGCTTACTCACCTTAATCTCTGCTTATTATTTTCTGCTGGAAAAACTCAGAGGGCCAAGATCTGCCCACCTGCTGAGATCTCTGCTGCTTACCTGGTCTTGAATATCCATGAGCTAACTATCTAGTAACTTGTGCTCCCTCCTACTAACCCACTACCTTGCTTTACCCTATGGATTAGTCCAATTAGCAAACATTGCATTCCCCAGCCAGGGTTAGCCCATCTCCTCTAGCAGTCAAGCCCTGGTTTAAGAAACATCATAATAAGATAACCAGTATTAAGTGATGAACATTTATTAAGCTCTTAATTATGCAGCAGACATTGTACTATATGCTTTATATTCTCATTTGACCCTGAGAACTGAAACTTTCTGCAACCACACAGGTTTACTATCAGAACTGTGACAAGGCTATAAACCCATAAATAGTTTTACTGCATGCTTCAAGGGCTTCCAGAAAATAAATGGATTCAAACAATAAATTGCTCAAACAATTCCCTTCTAAGGAAAATAGGCTGCTCAGCTGTCTTCTCAGGATCATACATAACTAGACAAATGGCTTGCTTATAAACTGACTTCAAGACTCCTCATTGTATCCACCAATCCTAAACTATTACATCACCTAATTTGACCAATCTTAGTAAGACTCCTGCAGTGAAAGTTGGTTTTAAACCACTAAAGTTCAGACCCCCAATCTCTATAAATATCTGCATTGGCCTCTTACATGCAAGATGGCTAGGACTGTCTGTCAATGTGGTGGTGGTTATTCTGGTGTCCTTTTATGTAGTCAGCAGCTAATTATCCTTATAATATTCCTTATGAACTAGTTATATTGTTATTCCAATTTGATAATGATACGTCAAGAACCTAGTGTTTGGACCCGTTAAATACAATAATCTCCCCTTATCCTTGGAAGATACCTTCCAAGCCCTTCCAGTGGATGCCTGAAGGCATAGATAATACCCTACTCTGTTTTGTCCAACACACGCATGCTCATGATGAAGTTTAATTTATAAATTAGTCACAGTAAGAATAATAATAATGAACAACTGTAATAATATACTATATTAAAAGTTATGTGAATGTAGTCTCTCTCTCTCAAAATATGTTATTATACTATATTCACCCTTCTTCTTGTGATAATGTGAGATGATAAAATACCTGCATGATGAGAAGAAGTGAGGTATATGACACAGATACCATGACCTAGGGCTAGGCTGCAATTGACCTTCTGATGATATGTCAGGAGGATTATTTGCTTTGGTAACTTAAAGTCAGCCTCAGGTACACAAAGCTAAACTACAGATAAGGGGAGACTCCTATAACTTGCTTCTAAATTATCACCTGGGTTTCAAACCTTGGAACTCTGACTTAAAAGAGGGCTATTCTACCTCTTTCTTGATAGGATAATGTCCTTTCTCCCTGAGGGAAGATACTGCCTTTGTTGGGGGAAATTCTGAGGTCAGTCACCAGGGGAATCAAGTAGGAGCCTGAAGGTATGCATATTTAGGAAACAAAGGAAATAGTTAACTGTTTGAAGGAGATGTGAGAAGACTTTGCTTTGCTCCAGGAGAGTGGGAACTTGAGGTAGAAAATACTTAAGCAAGTAGTAAAAAGGGACTAGTGAGAGGAGATAGCAATAAAATGATGAGAAGCTGAAGAGTCCATTGAACTTTCTTTAGGGATGTGATACCTAGAGGATAGTTTAAAGATGAGTTATGTTTAAAGTTCATATTAGAGAGGAGAGGGCAAGATGGCGGAGAAGTAAGGAGCTCCGTACTTGCACTCGCGCCCATACATCACACAGAAAAGATCTGAAGCCATTGGATACCTTACAAAACCTGAGAGATTGGGA